TTTTTTTTTTTTTTTTGGTATGGGGATCAAACTCACATCCTTGCTGTTGCGAGGCAGGCGGTGGAACCACTGAGGTAAATTCCCAGCTCAAGATACTTACTCTTTTTAGAGGATGTAAATCAACTGGAACTAAAGTCAGTTTAAGAGGCTCAGAAAAATGTCCATGGTTTCTAAGTCTCACAGCAAGCACAGCTGAATCCCAAAGATCCTTTGAATTCTTAAAGTAGATCTATAAATTTGAGCATAAAGTGTAAGAAAGTACCCATAAATTGAAGCAACATAAATTAGAAAAGTCTTTATTACTTGAAGACATATTCATTATGAAATCATTTACACCCATATAAATAATTTACTGTAGCTAATTCTTAATTAGCAACCTAATAAATGCACTAAATAAAATTAACACAAAGTGCCAACCACTAATAACACTTCCCCCAGTGTTAAAATTCTACATCTTTAAAGAGTAGGCTATAAACATTTTAGTATTAATCTGTAAATTAACTTTATCAAATATATTTCAATCTCAATATAACCTATCTCTCCATAATCCCTTACCTTTTTCCTTATAGGCAAAGATACAGAAATCAAAGTAGGAGCAAAGAACTTGTACAGTGACAACAAAGCCTGGAGATGAGGTTGCATTCCCTGAAATAAAGTAGAATTTTCCATTTTTGATTATGTGGCCAAGGAAACAAATACCAAGAAGAAAAATGTAACAATAAACAGACTAAACATCTATTCACACTATTCACATTGGCAGCATACTCAAGACTCAAAGTTCACTTGTCCTTGATTTAAATATCAAGAAGGTAGGCCCCAAAGGGAAGCCAAGAAAACAGAACAGAGGAAATATTAATATGATACCTGATAATCATAAATCCTAGAAAATCAAATAGGAATCTTAAAATAGATATTTAATAGTCAAGCAGCTTGATATAACTAAACAAGACTTAATGAAAATACTAACTTCAGAATGAAATGTTATTTCTAGATATGCATTAGTATCGCTGAAGCATATTGCTAAAATGAATTCCAAAAAAGTAATAGTATTGTTTTATTAGGTTAAAATTTTGTTGACTTTAATACTATACAAAGTAAGGCAGAAAATAGTGCTTACAAATACAGTACAGGTACGTTGCTTAAGACAGGGATGTTATGAGAAATGCAGTTAGTTGACTGTGTAAACATTATATAGAATGTGCTTATACAAAGCTAAATGGTATACCCTACTATGCATGTGGGCTGTGTGGTATATATTGTCTATTACATGACTGTATGCATATTTTATAACAGCTTCTTAAATATATTATTTTTGTTAACATATTATGCACATTGAGTTTAGTATACTTCCATATACACATACACTTTGCATTAATCAAAGCAAAACTCCCTTTATCCTCTCCTTGCCATACCTTTCTCAACTTTCATTACTCAGTATACTGTATTCAGTTTATATTTTTTAACTTCCATACATGAAAGTATGTGGTTGTCTTTCTGTATATGACTTACTTCACTTAACACAATATTCTCTAGATTCAGCAATTGTGCTGCAAATGACAGTATTATGTTATGTTTCGTGGCTTAATATTCCACTGTGTGATTATACCATATATTCTTTATCCATTCATCCACTGATAGGCACCAAGGCTGATTTCATGTCTTAACTTATATTATGGTGCCACAATAAACATGGGTGTGCAGTTATCTCCTTAGTATGCTGATTTCATTTCCTTTGGATATACTGTATACCCATAAGTGGGATAGCTGGATCATATAGTAGTTCTGCACTTAGCTTTCTGAAGTACTTCCATATTATTCTCTATCATGTCTATACTAATTTACATTCTCACCAACAGCATAAAATAGTTTCCTTCTCTACAAGTCTTCTTGATAGTTTGTTATTTTTAGTGTTCTTTGATAATAGTCATTCTAACTAGTGAAAGATGGCACCTCACTGTAGTTTTGATTTCCATTTCCCTGATAGCTAATGATATTGAACATTTTTTCATGTATTTGTCATCCATTAGCAATTGAAACTAAATTTATTAAAACAAAACCAAAATGACAGGTATTATGTTGAAAATATATGCTGAGTTAGGTCTCCAAAGAAGTTGCGGACTGCAACCAGAGAAAATGAGAGCCAGCAACACACAAAAAAGGCAATCCTTCCCCCAACATCCTCCCAAATACCAAACACTATATTCTGGCATTTTATCCACCACCAATCAATCAGTGTCAGCAAGGAAAGCCCCTAGACATGGGGAGAGAGGAGCTGGACACCACAAACTGTGGGTTATGCTAAGTGCACTGGCAGGGAGCCACAGATGGCATCCCTGGAAACACTGCGGAAGGGGAGAGACTCAGTGAAGCCAGACCAGAACGGACACTTTCCTACTATTTCCTCCAACACTGGAAAGAGCTGAGTCTTGCTCACTGTCCCATGCAGGCAAAGGAGGCCATCTGCCAAGCCTTGGGATACACCAAATTACCTGTGTTGAGAAGCAGAATTCTTGAGACAGGAACCAGGGACAGATACACCTGATGATGAAGGAACAGAAAGAGTTGCCTGGGGCAGAGGCCTTCTGGTGATAAATAGGCAGAAGGCCCCTAGAGGGAGATGGGAAGATTTGCCCTCCAGCTAGGGGAAAAGTGGGAGAGTAGGTGTTGGGCAAACTATATCACAACCTCTTCTTCCTGAATTAATCAAGGTGGTTAAATCTGGGGAAAGAGACAAATGTCTACAGTTGGACACACCCCAAAACATAGCTTGAAGCTAGGAGGTGGTTCCAGACAGAATGACATCCCTCACCTAGGCAGGAAGTTAAGCATGTCACAGAGAAGAAACGAGCTTGGCTGCCAGCAATCTATGACTATGAATGACTAAAGCATGAAGGGAATTGTTCAGACACTGTCTATATGTGATTGGGTCCAGTTCAACTGAACTGAACAGGTTAAAGTGGTAGATAACACCTCTTGACAAAGCCTATTCACATCACTGGAAACCGGAACCTAATTTAACAGATCTTCATGCCAACAAATTAAAGTCTCTTCATTCTATTTGTCCTCAACATTCGGCACAAATAAAATAAAGGCAACAAAATTTCTGTAAAGACTCCCAAAGCAGATTCAAGGGGCACCAGTTGAGGAAATCAAACACACAGTAGCTGAGCTGTACAAAATGTTAAAAGAGAAAGCAAATTAACATAACTAAACAGATAAATGGAATTAAAAGACAACTTGACCAATATGACTAAATAAAAGTCAAACAAAAATAGAAGAGCTAACCAAAACCACCTAGAACATGAATGATAAATTTCCAAAGAAAGAGAATCCATGAAAAGGTGCCAAACAGAAATCCCAGAGATAAAAAAATTCTACTGAAAATATGAACACCAGAAATGACCAACATAAGGAGAAAGCATCAGAACTTCAGAACAGGTAAGAAGCAGAACATGATCTATTCAGAAAAACCTTAAAAAGAACAAGATAGTAAGGAAATTGACCCAACGGCTACTAGATGACACTAAGAAGACTAATCTAAGACTAAATGGAGTTAGAGAAAATTAGAGGTTAGCACTCATGGAATTAAAAAAAAAATCGCTTTTCAGAAATAATAGCAGAAATTGTTCCAAGTATGGAGAAAGAACTCAACATACTGATAAGCAAGACAGATAAGCAACATGCAGATAAGCAAGAACTCCAAATAATTACAAGGACAAAAGTAGCTCACCATGAAACATCATAGGCAAAATCCCAGAAGTCCAATACAAGGACAGACTCTTAAAAGCTATGAGAGAAAAGCAACAAATCACTTATAAAGGAAAACCCTTGAGGATTACAGCAGATTTTTAAAGTTAAACATTAATAGCCTGGAGAGGTTGGAGTGAAGTGTTTCAAGCCCCAAAGGAAAACAACTTTCAATCCAGAATATACCTTGTAAGACTCTTTGAAAACTGGAGAAATAAGGATAATCTACAACAAAGAACACCTTAAGAAATTCATGACAACCAAATTAGCACTCCAAAATATTCTCAAGGATGTCCTAGACAGAGATAATGGTGTCAAGGACGCAAAAAAGACAGATGGAATGAATACTTTAAGCAGGGTAAGCAGTTAAACAAAAAAGGAAAAATCAAGAAACCGAAACATGGGCCGGGGATTTAGCTCAACGGTTCAAGTGGCCTGCCTCGCAAGCGCAAGGACCCGAGTTCGATCCCCGGTAAAAAAAAAAAAAAAAAAACAAAAAACCAGACTTAAAAAAAAACAAAACAAAACAAAACAAGAAAATAGTGCAATGATAGCAATAAGACAGCAATGTTCAGAGATAGCTCACAATGTATATGTCTCAACTTCCTAATTAAAAGACACTGATTGGCAGACTGAATCAAAAAAATGAAACCCGGGGTGGGGATTTAGCTCAGTGGTTCCACCACCTGCCTTGCAAGCACAAGGTCCTGAGTGTTGGTGGTGGTGGGGCGCACCAAAAAATAAAACCCAATGGTTAGCTGCATCCATGAGACACATCTAATCTAATCCAAGAATAAATTCATAATAGATTTTAAAAAATCAAAAGAGGGAAAACAATATTCCATGCATCAGGGACCCAAAAGCAAGCTGTTCTTACTCTCAGATGAGGTGGACTTCAAACTAAAACTGATCAAAAGAGGCAAAGTAGGTCACTACATACTGGTTAAAGAAATAATTCAATAGGAAGATATAAAAACTGTAAATATATATGTACCAAATACAGTGTACCCAACTTCATAAAACAAACACTAGTGAACACACAAGATCAAATAAACATCAACACAATCATAGTGGGGGACCTCAATAGCCAACTTTCACAAATAGATCAAGATCTTTTCTAATGTTTAGGTCCCAGAGTGCCAGTTGCAAGGTGTATTACCTGTACTAATTAATTTTATGTGTTGATTATGTCTGGTCCATGGGGTGCCCAGATATTTTGTGAGACATTTTTCTGGGTATTTCCGTAAGTGTTTTAGATGAGATTAACATTACCCACATATACTTTGAGTTGGCTTCTACAATGTAGGAAGTCTCATCCAATCAACAGAAAATCTAAACAAAACAAAAAGAACAGCCTGCCTGTGGAAGAGACACCTCCAGCAGACTGTTTTTATATGCAACAACTGCTCTCCATGGTTCAACAGCAGACTGATTTTGGACTCAAACTGAAACATCAGCTTTCCTCAGTTTTCAGTCTGCCCTATGGATTTGGGACTTAATGGCCTTGATAACAGTATGAGGAAATTCCTTATAATTAACATATATACATATATACACATATGCTATTGATTCTCTTTCTTTTGAGAGCTTGAAGCCTGATAGGCAGAGATGAGAAAATTATCTGAGAAAACTGACAGAGTCATCAGGGAGGGTGCCCAACAACACTTCAAGACTCTACAATGAAAAAATCCTATTCATGAGCACAAGTATTCAATCATCATTTTAGTGCATACAAACAAGCTCATGCCTAGTAGAGGGAGAATCCCCCAAATCATCCTCACTAACCCCTAGGATGAAACACAATGCCAGCTTCTTGTTACAAAGACTGTTTCCAAGACAGCCCAGTATACGAGGTATAATAACATCACTGCTTCACTTCTCACCATTCATGCCTGCCATCAGAAAGGCAATTTCTATGTTTCTGTTTCCTAGATAGAGCACTGAGAGATATGCATGGATATAGACAAGATACAAATCTCTGTCAAATATCAGAACTTCAAATATTCAAAACACTGCTTGCATAGTCTATTACTATTATGTAGGTTAGGCTACACATGAACATATATAACCTTGGTCTAATATTGTTGGACTTGCCCAAAATCACGAAAATTCAGCTAATCAAAACAATATTATAAATGCATCTTTATAAATAGGTGTTAACATGTAATGAAAAACTCAGTAATATACTATATAGAATGTTAGTGATGAAACCATATATAACCTTTCTGTTAATACTACATATCAAGATCTTATAATGAAAATGTTATTTCCATTGATGTTTTGCGATAATATGGGAAAATATACATCTTTTCAGTTTGTAATAATGTGAAATCAATTCAACTTATGCAACAATATTACAACTAATATCCTCCGAGAACAAAGAGAAGATAACATATCGAAGGAACCAAGAAAGGAGGCTATAAAAACAATAACAATCATTGAACTACATGTACTAAAAGGAAACCTCAAATAGAGGAGCATAAATATGTTCTGTGTGTCTTTTATTCAATGTGATTGCCTTTAGGTAGGCCATAATGGCTTTAGTTAGGCACTGATACTACTTCCAACTGTTTTATATCTAAAACTTCACATATTTCTGTTACCTGGCAGGTATAGTGGAAACAACAATGCAGAAGAGCTATAAGGACAAGAGATAATGTTCAAAGTACATTTTAAGTATCTATAAGAAAATGTCTTAAAATATTTTCCTAGATGCATCCACAAAAACTATAAACTTACAAAGTCATTTCTTGCCACTTCCTAATACTTTTTAGCCAAAACAACCTAGTTCTTTAAATAGGGTTTTGTTGCCTGACATCCATATGCCTTTGCTCAGGCTGTTCCTTCCATCAGGAGGAATACCCTTCTTTCCCTACTTAAATCCTATTCATCCCAATTTTCTCTCATATATCAGTATACCTGCTTAACCTCCAATCTGACTATTTTGCTTGTGTGTGCGTGTGCGTGTGCGTGTGCGTGTGTGTGTGTGTGTGTGTGGTGTTTATCTTTCTGGTCCTGGGGATAAACAACCAAGTAAGTGCTGTATCACTGAACCACAACCCCCAGACCTGATTGTGATTTTTTATTTTTTTGACTCATTTTCCCAGAAAATAAGTTCCTTGAAGATAAATGACTCATTTGATTTTATATTACCAAACATAGCTCAGTCTCTGACACATAGTGATACTGACTAGTTTTAGGTCTTTTAAATACTCACCATTTTGGCCTGAAGATCAAGCAGTTTTCTCACACGAAATGGTTTGACTAGAAAAGGTAAAGAAAAAGGTTCAATGCATTTGGTTTAGAAAAAGAAGAAATGAGCTATATTTAAACAGCATTACTTCATATAGTTTCTTCTTATAACACATCAAGAAAATAAACACCCTGTTCATCTGAACCATTAAGCAGATGCTCTTAAATAAAAGCATGAAAAAGCAATTTACACAGAGTATTATCATATGAATAATAGCAACAGTTATGTTAACTTTATAAACTACAAAACAAATGTTAATTCCATAGAGTGAATGTAATATAACTGGAATGAAAATACTTACCATTGTCTTTTTTGGTGAGTAAATATAGCAAGTGGCAGACATAAGGGCACTATAAAATATTTAAAATATTAAAAGAGAAATGACAATACATCTTGAACAAAGCAGTAATATATTCTTCTCTAATATCAATCTCATGCTAAGTATAAAGGCTTCAAGATAGTTTTATAAAGCTTCTCTTTTTTAACATTCCTTATCAAACACTGTTGAGACCAGAAGTGATTATGAGTTCTGCTTTTCCTTTAGATTTTGGAATATTTGCATATATAAAATGAGATATCTTGGGAATGAGACTGAAGTGTAAAATCAAATTTATTTTTGTTTCATATAAACCGCACAAATATGGCTTGAAGCTAATTTTATACAGTATTTTTAGTGTGCCTATTTTAACTTCAACTTATCACATGCAGCCAGGCATGGAACTGTCCTCTTTAAGGTATAAACTTAAAATATTTATTGGGATTTTTCTCACTTAAAAGCATTTTTTCATGTCTTCAAAATTATCATTGTCAATGATGTCTCATATTTCAGTGAGTAAAGACCCCACAATTTTTTTGTGTGTGGGATAAGGATCAAACCCAGGACCTTGTACACACTGAGCAAATGCATAACCCCAATCCACATACATCATCACTTAACTAAAAGCACAATCCTAAATTTGGCAAATAATACCTACTTGATAAACTTGTTATTTAAATCACAGAATGATTTTTTGGAGGAATTTCCATAGTGGTTTACCAATTTATACTCCTACCAACAGTGGAGAAGGGTACCTTTTGCACCACAGCATCGCCAGTATTTGTTGTTGGTTGATTTCTTGATGGTAGCCATTCTTTCTAGAGTAAGATGGAACCTCAGTGTTGTTTTAATTTGCATTCCTTGAATGACCAGTGATGCTGAACATTTTTTCATATATTTATTTGCTGTTTGTACTTCTGTATCTGAGAAGTGTCTATTCATTTTCAGATGATCATTTTTGCATGAGGTCTTTAAATTTGGGAGGGCCTGATTTTTTTCAGTTCTTCATACGTTCTAGATATTAGTCCTTTGTCTGAGGAGCAACTGTCTAAAATTTTTATCACCTTGTGTTGTCTCTTCACTCTGTTGGTGATTTTTGCTGTGCAAAAACTTTTTAATGAGATCCCAGTTGTTGATTCTTTTTTTTGGGGGGGGCAAGGATGTAACTCATGACCTTGTGCTTGTGAGGCAGGCGTAGTGCCACTGAGCTAAATCCGCAGACCCCAGTTGTTGATTCTTTGTAGGATTTCCCATATAGTCAGGGTTTTGTTCCTGAAGTCTTTGTCTACACCTATGTACTCAAGAATTCTACCTAGTCTATCTTCCAGCAGATGCAGTGTTTCTGTTTTAATATTTAGATCCCTGATCACTTTTGACTTTAGTTTAGTGGATGGTGAGAGACATGGGTCTAGTTTTAGTCTTTGTCATACAGAAAGCCAGTTTTTCCAGCAACATTTATTAAAGAGGCTCTGTTCCTTCCATTGAAGGTATTTGGCCCCTTCGGCAAAGATAAGGTGGTTGGAGTGTGTTTGGAGTTCTTTCTGAATCTATTATGTTTCACTGACCCTTGGGTCTGATTTTTTTGCCAGTACCATTCTGTTTTTATCATGGTAGCTTTGTAGTATAATTTCAAAGTCAGGGATTGTGATGCTTCCTGCCTCACCTTTGTTGCCAAGAATTGTTTTTGGTATTCTATGTCTCCTCTGGTTTCCAGTAAATTTTAGGACTGTTTTCTCTAGTTCTATGAGGTACATTATTGATATTTTGATTGGGACTATACTGAATCTGTGTAATAGTTCTTCTATTTGACCTGGCTATTCCCCTTCTCAGTATCTATCCTGGTATTGTCCTGAAAGCATCATACCATAGTGATATTGGCACACCCATGTTTATAGCAACACAGTTTGCAATAGCTGCATCTTGGAAACAGCCCAGATGTCTATCAATGGATGAATGGATAAGGAAAATATGATTTTTAAAAATATACAATAGAGTACTACTTGGCCATAAAGGATAAACTTGAGACATTTTTAGGTAAATAGATGCATCTTGAGACCATACTTTTAAGTGAAATAACTTGGACACACGTTTAAAAATTATACTGTTTCTCTTCTGTGAGAAACAAAGGGTTAATAAGGATCAAAATGGATGATAGATATTGGGAAGCTGGAGGAAAATGTTCAAATGGGAAAGGGAACAAGGAGAGGGAGAGAAAAGGGAAGGAAAATAAAAATAAGAAAAATGGAAACAAAGCTTTTGTAAATAAGGAGGGGAAGAAGGGTTGAAGTGAGGGGAGAGGAATGGGGAAAAAAAAGAGTCAAGATATATTATGCACAGGTATAAATCTCCTATGATGAATGTAATCATTATGTACATCAAAAACATGAAATAGGAAGAAAAGGGCTAAAGGTATGGGAGAAGTGGGAAGGGGAGGGGAGGGGAAATAAGGGAAAAGAAAAAATGAGAAAATGAAAAAATGGAAATAAAAGTTTTTGTAAATAGGAAAGGGAGGAGGGGGTGAAGGGAGGGCAGGGGTATGGCTAAAAAATGAGAACCAAGACCTGTCATGTAAAGGTACAAGATCTCAATGATGGATGTAACTGTACTGTATACCTAAAATGTACCAATAAACTCAATGAGAAAAAAAGAAAAAAAAGTATCAATAAAATTAAAAAAAAAACAAATCATAGAATGACCAGTTCTTCAATATTTCATTTTGAATGTTCATCTATTGAAGTCTTCTATATCAAGGTTCACTCTATGGTTTGTTTTTGTAAATAAAGTTTTATTGGATTACAGATCACATGTTTATTTAGATATTGCCTACAGCTGCTTTTGCTCTAGTCGAGCACACCTGAGGACTTGGGATAGAAACAGTAGGGCCCTCAACCCTAAAATATTTACTATATAGCCGTTTAAGAAAAAAATTGCCAACACTTGCAATAGATGACATAAGGTGAAAAAGTACATTATTTAAAGGAAATTGAGAAAGAAAAAAAAAACACAAAGATTTTCTTGGAACAAATTTGAATTCTGGGGATGTCCACTTTCACTACTCCTGTTTTAATACACTACTTGAAACATCAGGGAGAACAAGCAGGCAAGAGAAAGAAATAGAAAGAATACATATAGGAAAGGGAGAAGTGAAATGTTCCTTATTTGCATATGACATGATTTTTTACATAGATGATCCAAAAAGCTCCAGGAAAAGACTCCTAAAACTACTAAAAAAATTGGAAGATAACAGAATACAAAATCAACACACAGATGAGTTCGAGCACAAAGATCCACAGCTCCAAGAAGTGGGGATACATCAAGTTCAATGGACATGAATCTGAAGACATGGTAGCCAAGCACCTAATCCCTGATGGCTGCAGGGTGAAACACATCCCGAATTGCAGTCCACCTGGACAAGGGACGGGCCATGCACTCCTGAAGCTTCTACTGTGCAGCCCCTGCCCGCTAACAAGTACATCAATAAATCGTATCTCTGCCTCCCTAAAAAATTCAACACACAAAAACCAAGTGTTCCTATCCACCACTCCTAAACTCTCAGAGAAAGAAATTAGAAAAAGAATACCTTTGACAATAGCTTCAAAAACAAATACTTAGAAATTAACCTAACAAAGGGAGTGAAAGACCTCTATAAGAAAAACTATATATAGTACTCTGACAAAGGAGATTGAAGACATCAGAAATTAGAAAAATATCCCGTTCTTGAATAGGCAGAAACAATAGTGTCAAAATGGCCATACATCCAAAACTAATATATAGATTTAATGCAATCTCAGTAAAAATACCAACAGCATTCCTCACAGAACCAGAAAAAGCAATCATAAAATTCATATGGAACCACAAGAGACCCAGAATGGTAAAAGCAATTCTGGACAAGGGTAAGGCAGGGGCAAGCATGATCCTAAACTTCAAGTACATTACACAGCTACAGTGATAAAAACATTGTGGCACTGGCAAAAACAAAAACAGACTTGTGGATCAATGGAACAGAACAGAAGATGCAGAAACAACTCCAGGCATACTCAATTACATTATCTTTGACAAAGGGGCCAAATCCTTTTGCTTGAGCAAAGATAGCCTCGTTAATAAATGGTTCTGGGAAAACTGGCTATTCATATGAAGAAGACTGAATATAGACCCATATCTATCGCCAAGTACTAAAAGAAAATTAACATGCTCCAAAGACCTAGATATTAACAGAAACAATCTGTTATAAGATAAAATAGTTAAACTCTTGAAAGCATAGGCACAGGTTAGGACTTTCTGAACACAAATACACAAGGAATAACATCAAGAATTAACAAATGAGGGCCAGGGATTTAGCAGAGTGGTGCTGCCACCTCCCTCACAAGTGCAAGGTCCTGATTTCTATCCCCGGTACAAAAAAAAGAATTAACAAACGGAGCCTGGAATAATGGCACAACCTTGTAATCTCAGAATTCAGGACGCTGAGGCAGGAGGATTGTTGAGAATTCAGGACAAGCCTAGGCTACATAGTTGAGTTCAAGGCCAGCCTGAACTACATAGTGAGACCCTGTTTCAAAAACCAAACCAAAACAAATAAACAAAAATCAACAAATGGGATCATTTCAAGTCAAAAAGCTGCCATTGCACAGTAACAGAAAAAACCAACAGAATGAAGAAACATACTACAGAAGTGGAAAAAATGATGTTTGCCAGATACTCCTCTCGGACAGAAGACTAATAAATATCTAGAATATATAAAGAATTAAAAATATCCAAACCCCCAAAATAAAAGACCCAATCAAAAAAAATGAGCAACTGAAATAAAATGACACTTTTCAGAAGAAAAACAACTGGCCAATAAATACACGAAAAATGCTCAAAGTCTCAGGCAAATTAAAACACGGAGATTCCATCTTAACCCAGAAAGAATGACTATCACCAAGAAATCAAAAAATAAATTTGGTGAGGCTGTAGGGGAAAAGGCTCCCTTCTCCATTGTGGGTGAGAATGTAAACTAGTACAGCCACTATGGAAATTAGTATGGAGACTCTT